ATATATATATATATAAATACCACCCCATCAGTACTGAGTGGCCAGATTATTATGACCACCCCATAAGTACTTCGTTGGGCCATGAGATGACTCCACAAGATGACATCGTTGGGCCGCCTCGCGTTGTTTATGTTTACCCATATCTTCAGAAAAAAATCACTTCTACTGTCGTGGTAAACAACCTGCTTCCCTATTTATAATGGTCTGGCCCTCTAGCAACTTCAGCGCAAAATTATAGGTGGTCATAATAATCTGGCCACTCAGTGTATATACAGTATATACATACTTAATTGCAGAGTCCTATTTGTTGCCATCTGTATTGAATCATACACTCACTTCCTACTTGCGCACATAAATCCAAGGACAATGAGATGGATTGGTGTATGACATTCTTGTCAGATACATTTGTGTGTATACATCTGCAATATATTTTTTCTCTGCTCAAACATTAGCTGAGTGGAACATAACAGTATATAATATTACATTTTATTATATGAAAGTGAACCTAGGAGAATAAATATATGTGGGCTGCCATTGTTAACTTGTTTGCAGAGGTCCAGGCTCCATGTTTTTCATCTTCATCCTAGTATTACTAATTGCTCATATCAGTTGCTCACAGAATCAGGATGGCAGCCCTGGATTGTGTAAAAACAAGTCAGCAATGGCAGCTTTCACACTTTTGTTCTCACAGGTTCAGTTTGTATTCTATCATAAAACATGCTAAATTCTATGTGTGAAAAAAATGAAATATTACAAAATTCAATTTTTTAGTCATGCATTATGAAGAAATACTAACATCAGGCCCCATTCAGCAAAGTGTCTGAAGGAGAAACTATTCTGATTGCCCACATCTGCCAATCAGATTATTACTTTATTGTTGCTATGGCATATAGGAATAAAAGATGATTTTACTGTCCTAGGAAAGTAAAAAATACGACTTCCTTTAGACGCTTATATATGAAGCCCATTATCTATGAAAAGCCTCTCACCTCTATGAACAATATCGTTCTTGTGACACCAGTTAATTGCTTTGATGAGCTGATAAATGTAATTCTTGACTTTTTCTGGAGAAACTCCATTTGGCATTTCTTCCAGCAACTCGAGCATGTTCTAAATAAGGAAAAATACAACAGGGTTCAGTGTTAATCTCATTACAATTTGACACGGCTCATTTCAGCTCCTTAAATCCACTCAAAGGCCTGGTTCATTTTCCAGCCAAACAAATCATGCCAAAGCAGTCATGCAAACATAGCTATGGGTCATATTTTTATACATAAGAAAAGCGTGGAAAATCTTGCTAATTCATTTGATCTAACTGATAAAAACAAAGGTATTGAAAATTACAGAAATATGTAGGTTACCATTGATGACCTCCTGAAAATGTTACTTCGTTGACCTGCTTGCAAGAAGAGAGCCAAGTAAAGTCCCAACTTTTTACCTTAATTCTTGTTTCAGATCATTGACTCAGAAGCGATCCCCAGATATAGGATCAGCAACTCAGCTAGGAAACAAAAGAAGTGAACAATGACAAGCTGCATATGTCTCTCATGATGGATTACCCTTAAAAGAGGACTAAAGCCAAACCTTTTTTTGGGTCACAGGAGAACATTCACGTAAGTACTCCTGTGACCCAAAGTCAACATATAGCGGGCTACTGTCCACTATATACTGTCAGCACAGAGCTGTGCTGCAGCCAGGATGGATACCGACAATACTGTCAGGAACCACCATGCTGCCTGATTGACAGTTGGTTCTGCCTCTCTAGCGCCAGAGGCAGCTGTGCCTGCCCCCTCCACTGCCTTTCCCTCGAATGAGAGCTGGAGAAACAGAGGGGAGGGGGATCCCTGTGGTAAGCTGTGAATGACAGCCATGGCTGTCAGCAGGGAGAATACTGTGAGCTGAACGATCAGTGGTCACATGATTACTCAGCTCTTGCTATAAAAGTGCAGTGTGACAGCTGTATTGTGCTATGATGGCTCATAGTATTGTGTGCAGTATATTTAACTTTTCTCTTACTTCTGCTTTAAAGATATATCAAGCCAAAACATTTTATGGCTGGCTATTGCACCCGCCCACTGCCTGCTGTCAATCAGCAGAGGAGCTGACCTGAAGGAAAAATTTCTCCTCTGCTGATTGACAGCAGCAGTGGGCGGGTGCAATAGTCAGCCTGCTATTTGCTATTGCAATTTGAAATAACCAACCTAGTTATTGATTGCCCTGCTAACTGTTTTTTTGTACTTTGTATCCTGACAGCGGGCGCTAGCCACTGTCAAAATACCTGAACAGGGAGGGCAGCTCAATGGCTGTCGGCTTCTGACCGGGTCCTCTGATCAGCTGATTAAGTGATGCCGGCCAGACAGTGGCACCCACTGGACAAATTTAGTTCCCCAAGAACTGCCTGAGATTTGCAGTGTTTATTATGGGTAAAATCAGTCACTTTGACCGATAACTGATAACAGCAATGAGGCAAGCTTAAGGCTTGCGTGCCAGCAGAGAGGGCCCCTCGTGCCAGCTGTGGATGCATGGCATAGGTTTGCCATAGCTGTACTAGAGTGTTAAAATAAGCTACATTAGCTACAGTACCTTACAAGTAAGGCTCTAACACAGTACTCCCAACTGTCCCTCGTTGTTCCTCGTCAGTTATAATTATTTATAACATCAGCAAAAATCCTGTTAGTACAATATTTTAGCCTTGGTAATATTCAGCCTTTAGCTGCACAGCCTGCTTAAAGGAGAACTATGGGGTTAAGGCTTTTCTCCATAGTTCTCCTTAGGGTAACGGGAGGACACAAACTAGCGTCCTCCCGTCACCCTAGGCTCAGTATACCGCGAGCTGTAGCTCGCGGTATACTTAGACGCCGCAGTATACAGCGAGCTACTGCTCGCGGTATACTAAGATGACGCAGCTGAAGCGGATCCCGACAATTATGTCTGGATCCGCCCAGCTGCGTGACTGACAGCTGGCTCTGCCTATCTAGAGGCAGAGCCAGCTGTACCCGCCCCCTCCCCCGTCCGTTCCGCCAGTCAGCGCTGGTGGATCGGAGCGGGGAGGGGGGAATCCAGACCCTCCCCTGTCACGGCAGAGGTGAGCGAACGCCGGTATGTGTTCGCTCACCTCCCGATCTACCGAGCCGATCTGTGACAGTCTCATTGTCACAGGTCGGCTAGAACTATGAGCTGAGTGAAAATCACTCACCTCATAGTTCTCCTTTAAAGCTACTGAAGCCTGCATTCCATCCTGATGAGAGGTTCCATAGAGGAGGGGAATTGCCATAGATATAAATTATAGTCACTTTCTAACTATAAGGGTTAAAAACAGAGGTTTTAGTTGCAGAAATGTTGCAAAATATGTGGAAGCCACACTGCCTCGTCAAGGTCCCTCTGTGTAGTGTGGTCCTAACTCCAATCCATGAAAGCCTTCATCTTGGAGCATATATAGCAAAGGATAATTTGGGTGCAGGTTTGCTAGGAGGCAGCCCATTACTTCTTAAAGGCACAGAATCACACCAGAAGCCAAGCACAACATAATGGCAGCTGAAGCCACCAGTCGGTCCACCACACCAACTCCAAGCCTTGGCAGGCTGCCATTATTTCTTATTGCAGGCTCTGTTGTTACCTCTGTACATGAATTGGGCTCAAAGGTCAGACTTTAATCATAACAAAATACAGGCTGCAATAGCTAGGGGCACGTCCTTTAACTAATACAAATTTTATGAAGCTAGATATTATTCCTAAACTCTAAATTATTGCACAACAATGTAAAGCAAAATAGTGGAAGAAAAAAACACTAGTGTCTAATTATGTGATTTGTATTTTTTGTGCTATTCTTTTTTGGTTGATATTGGTCCTTTTAGGTGTCCAAGAATGCACAAAAATAGGATGTTGTACTCACCGTAAAATCCTTTTATCTGCATTAATTGAAGTGAAGATGAAGAGAGTAGATTTGGAACCACTGCAGGTGGCGTTATAACTCCAGATCTACAATCTTCATCTTTATTGTGTACTTCAATGAAAGGAAGAAAAAATTATCTTTTGTTTATGGATTCTTCATGGTCTGCATGACCTCATGTGTGTGTGCCAGAATATTTTGTACTAAAAGGTGCCACAATTTATCATCTCAAAAGTTTGGGAGGTCACCTAACATGGATAGATTTGGGAGATAACTCTACTGCCTACCTTTTGCATTTGTCTCGTCTTTCGAGGAAAAACTACAAGCTCTCATTGCTAATTCACCTAATAAACGCAGCCAGGAGCTGCATCCCTATTTTGTGGAAACAGGAGGCTCCTCTTTCACTTTCCATGTGGTTCTCTAAAATAGCCAAGATCTACACTATGGGAGATCTCACTGCATCTCTACACCATAGGAAAGAACAGTTCTGTAAACCGTGGTTTTACTGGACAGCCTTTACTTCCTCTGATGAATTTACCACCTTCCTTTAAGCCCTATTGACCGGGCCTGGAGTCATGTAGAAAGCCTACCTGAGACCCTTGTTTCTCTATGTTTGCCTGCTTCCTCCTCTTTTTTCTTCCCTTTCCTTCTCTCTCCCATTACATTCTTCCTTCTCTCCTTTTCTTTCTTATTTTCTTCTCTGATTTTATTTCGTTTCCTTTCCTTTCTGCTTCTTTCTTCCCCTACAGTTATTTGTTAAAATGTTTGATGGAGTTGTGATGCCTAATTTACATGACTTTGTTATTGACGTTAGTAGTTACTCTGGAAGTGTATAGTTCTATGTGAGGAGCAGGGGACGATTCAGGATATTGTTAGCATCCTTTCCTTGTGTTATTGTTCTATTTTTGCTTTTGCTGTGACAGTGGGAAACAACCAAGCATTATTTCATTACTGCTTCTAATAATACTGCAAAATTATAACTACTGTTCAATATGTAGAGAGAACATTACCTCCAACTCCTGACTCAAGTAGCATATTTGTCACTAATCAGAGAATCCACACTAGATCAAATAAACTAAAAAAAATGTTGGTATTATATCCTTCAGTGACATAGCGGAGACAGAAATCAAGGATGTTTTGGAAGAGGTTTCCATCACAAAGTATTTAATGTAGGACTTAAACATTATAATGTATTGTAGTGAATTACAGAATGCCTAGTAAGAATCATATTGCTTGTATCCAAGGGTTCCTAATCCTAAAATTACCCATTCTTATCCACAGTAGCTAGGGAGAGGGCTTCTTCATCTAAACAGTTGTCATTCCAAACATAAATGTGCGTGTGGTATCAGATGTACATACACATGCAAATATAAGCATATACACAAATGCATATAAAACTCTTTGTGAAAGTTCCTATGTTGTGTAAAAGTTTAAAATGCTTAAAATACTTAAACTGTAATATAACTCTGCCTAAAGGGGTAAGCTGGAGAGATCCACATTTTTAAGAGTACCTTTATTGTACACAATAGCATTTCCCTAAGTGCCTGTATATCGGCAGCAGAGAGAGACATTTCCTCTTGGTGACTCAATATGAAGCTTGTGGGATTAAAGTTACTAGGATGTTGTATAGAAAGGTACATTTTATTAATACTGTCTGTCCAGTATTTTTGTCATTTACGACATTTCCAGGTCACATATGGGAATTTTGTATGCAGGTAGCTTTCAGGGCATTGAAATAAAATCCTAAATTTCACTTGGGTGTATTACTCTCTGTGCAACCAAATAACGGGCGGTACAGCATATTTGAACCCAAGAACATAAATGTAATATATTGCAGCTTACCAATCCTTAGACGTGGTGACTGCATTCGTTTTTTATGTTCAAGATTTTTTCTTTTTTTCACCAGGTAATTCTACCAGTAACACATTTCTTGTCCTAAGGTAACAACGCTCACAAACTGTCCTGTATCTATGAAGAAGCAACATTGTGACCCTAGAAAAGGGCAAACTACTTCAGCTAAAATAGGCAAGAAATACCCATGCCAGGAACCCTTCTGTTTGCCATATCCCTCGAACTGTTCCTGGCAACTGTGTGTTCAGATCAGTTATCATACGCACAAACGTGAGGCCTATGTTGACGATGTACTATTTTCATTCAACAACTCCATGTCACTTTACTGAATTTGCTTAAGAAGTTAGATATATTTGGGAAGATATCAAATTTAAAAATAAACCTTCCTAAGTCAGAAATATAAAACCTTAGACTATTCCACCAAGGGATATAGGCCCTTACAGCACATTCCCCATTCACATGGTATCCCCAAAAATGTAAGTAACTTGGCATATACCTCACGCCACACCTATTTGAACTCTTTCAAACTAACTACATGCCTTTATTGAATACTATACATAGTAAACACTAACGTTGGTCTCTTTACTGTTCTTGGTTAGGGAGAATATTATCAAAAGGAATGTCCACCCCAGAATATCAACAGATTTCAAACAGTATTACCAAGCTGCAGTTCCCAAAAGAATACTAGACTGGACCTCTCTGAAATAGTCCACATTTTGGGTCAACCTAAAACATACACTATGTACCAATGAAATTACTACTATTATATAAATTCCTAAAAAATTCAGGTCCCTCGCACCTTTTTGTCTCCACTCCATCTTAGCCACATGTAGAGCTGCAACAGTTAATAGATTTAGTCGATTAAAATCGACGATTGAAAACGTTGGCAACGTTTTCGAATGGAACTCTTTATGCAAATCAACAATGAGCATACAACTCCCCACTACTCCCCTTGCTAGGACATTCCTACTTCTTCCCTGGCCTAATGTATCAAACATACCGTACAGAGAAACATCTCCATCTTCATCATGTACTCACCAATTTGTGAATCTGCTTCCTCGCAGACAATAGATCAGTAGAGATATACCCAGCTGCAACGTTCCATGAGTTCTCTACCAAAACCACTAAGATCTCTTTGAGAGCTTAATCTAAGTGAAACATTATTATCATCACCCATGGCTTTGACTAAATGTATCTCCAAACTCAATCCTCGGTTCTTCCTGTTACACTTGGACCGAGCTTTTTCACTATCTGCCAATGCAAGCACACCTCACTTGTTGAATGCAGCAAAATCTCCTTTATCCACTATATTGAAAAAAAAACCTGCTCCCCCAATTAAATGATAGTTTAAAAAAATAGATCAGATTAGACTCATGGGGGTTGATTTACTAACCTTATAAACACACCACGAACATGTATACACCTCTGTAGTGTGTTCCCTCCCAGCATGATCTATGGGTGGAATCTAAACACCTTTGTAGTGTGTACACAGCCAGCAGGTGTGTTGTGCAAAGCCTTGCATGAATTACAAGGTGATGTTGTGTAAATTAGCTCTACATTGTGTTGCTTGAATTGATGAATGCAGGAATGTAAATGCATGAGCTAACCATTTTTGTCTAAACTGTGAAGCAGCATTATATATGCATCATGTGCATGATTTTTCCATATATGGCATTAGTGGAAATATGCTTTTAGAGACTTTTTGGTTGATAAATACGTTTTGCTGTGTGAAAATCACACGCACCTGGTGCGTGCGTGTGTTTAGGTTAGTAAATCACCCCCATGGAGTAACTTACTCACTATTCCTGAGACACTCATAAAAAATTTTTGCGGCGTATGGGCTTACTGCATCGTCTTGAAAAATACTAGGGCTGGGAAAATTAACGATTAATTCCTCAATTAATCGTTAAACTTTTTGATCGAAAATGAAAACACTCACCTCTCCGCCGGCTTCCGGGAGTCCCGTCATAGATCCGGTGACATCACGGGCATCGACATCACCGGACTTCTCCCCCCTTCCCCAAGTGGCTCTGTCGGCTAACGAAGGGAAGGGGGGAGGAGTCCGGTGACGTCGATGTCCGTGACCTCTTCTTACCTGGAGATTATATGTACTGATTCATTGAAAGTAGCTCATTGGGATTTTTTTGTATCAAATCCAAATTCTTATTTTCATGACTGATATATTTTCTAGCCTGATTTGACCAATATTTAACCACAACTTACCCTTGGACCATTCCATTTCCCTACCTCTCCTGTACTCCTATGCAATTATGTATCTATATGATCCATATGTAACTGGAAGTCTGCAATGGACATGCTTATCTTTAAACAAGCGGATCCCTTCACATGTATTATGTATGACTTTTGACAACAAATTTAAAAAATATTAAATTACAAAAAAAATTATATGAATTCTATTTTTGTTACTTCTACATGGGTGAAAAAAGTTAAAACGTATCCCTTTATACTTTGCAAGGCAACTCCAACAATTCTCATTTTCTAATACTCCTATGTTCAAAAAATTGTCCAATCTGAATATGATTGCTATATTGAGCTGTTAATAAGAACATTGTGTAAATGTTTGAAGGCTACTGGGTTTCACAGTATCTAGGACAGAAGTCATGTTGATTAGCATGTACAAAAAAAAAAAAGAAGAGAAGCCGCAGAGAAGCAAGATCCAACTAAGTCTTCTTCATCTCCTGAAGCATAACACTGCCATATGCTTTCCTAATTGAAGAGACATGAAACCTGGAAAATGTCTGTAGTTTAAAACCACTGCTCACATTTTACAGACTAAAGGGACAGAATACTCCACTTTAATTTGTTTCAGTAAATAATTAATGATGATGGACAAAAGGGAAATAAATAAGAACAGAGCTCTGCAACAATCTACCACATTAAATCAATGATGGAAATGAATATAAATATAAATGGATAAAAAGACATATGAAGAACAAAGTTTATTTTCACAACTACATTTTAACTTAGTAGACCAACAAAGAAAGGAGAGATGGCTTCATGTTTCCCTAATCTAAAGAAAGCATTTTGTTTCTTCTCAACATCACATGACCCCTCCTAAGCTATTCCAGGCACTTTTTGCATTCCCATTTACTTATATGGGGAGAAAAACAGTTCTGACACAAACTAAAGCCTATGTCCACAGGTCCTACGAAGACATCTGAAATCCACCTGTATTTGGCTGCACACATCGGTTCTGCTCTGCACAGTGCAGAGTAACTGGACAGGACACGGTACTATTGAAATGTTTTCCACTGCGCTTGAAAAAAACAGCCAAGTGTGCATGCATTCAGCAGGGCCTTTGCTGTAAGGTTCAATAAACCCTTTATGCAGCAAACAGGGCACTTTGGCTACATCTAGGATGGCCTGAGGCAGACCGAGATCAGACAGTCTCTCTCGACTCTGTAGAAAACATAAATATCAGGGGGAAAAATCATGCTGCTAGAACCGCTGATCTTTGCTATCTTCAAAATCTATGTTTGATGCCTGGTCTCCCTCAAGATATGTGGTGGCTTCAACTGGCCACCAAGTAATTACAGGACACACGCCACTGCATGTGCTTACCCTGTTTAGAGAGGGTCTATACTTGCCCCACTAAGAGCTATGCCATGCTGAAGAACGCAGCTCCTAATCTTCTAAATCTAGCCACATTTGCATATCTGTGAGAAGCATAAGACGCTAAGAAACAATACATGATTTTCACAGAAAATCACAGGGTTATTTTTTCTAAATTGAACCAAGGTAATGCTATTTAGTTTAAGTACCAATAGTTTAGCTATGTAGTTCCATGTCCTTCACTCATTCCAAATTCAGAGTCTTTTTGGTAGGAGTAGAATTAGGATTTTTCCACATTAAAGTACTTATATGTACATATTTAAATACAAAAGTTGTCCAGGCTCCTTCCTAGCCCTCCCACCTCATAGATCTGGTTCCCCCCTCTAGCATTTGCAAATACTCCTTTAGACTTGAATAGGATGTACTCATATAGCAGGAGCAGTGCCCCATTCAAATAAATGTTACAGTACAGGTATGAGCAGTCGAACACTTGATTTTTACCAGCCGAGCGGCAGACATTGTGGCAAGTGCACACCTGATGGAGAAGGAACCCATATCTATCTATGGAGGCTGGGAAACCTTTCATTTAAATGTTTACATGTACTTTAATATTGACCTAAATCTCTGAAAGCATCTTCTCCAGCATTTTTAAATGCATGGTACAGTAACCCATAAGGACTACTCTAAATCACATTTCACTCTTCAACTTATTTCTGTTCCATATCAGGGACCCAGAAACCACTGAAAGCCAAAGCAATAGCATGACAATCAAGCAACTAGCTTTTTTCAGGAGAGGTCAGCAATGGCAGCTTACATTTTTCTTTCATAACAAGATTGCTTTATATAAGCCTTATAATCTAAAACATATATATACTCGTGACATTTTTCCATACATGGCCAGATTCAAGTCACAGCTGCCTGAAACCCGTAAACCAGGTGACATTTCTATCCACCTACCTTCTCCACATATTCAAAGACTAGGTATAATTTTCCTCTTCTTCTAAAGGCTTCTTTCAGCTCAACTATATTTTCCTGCTTCAATGTGCGAAGCATTTTAAGCTCTCGAAGTGTCGTTTCCTTGACTTCTTCATTTTCTGGGGAAAAAAGAAAAGGCAATAAAGACAAAATTAGAGGTGTAGTAACAATAGTGTTCTATAAAATGTCCTGTCTCAATGAAAGTTTGCGCTTTCCTCCCATGCTTGTAAGAGATAAGTAATTGCTGACATTGGAGACACACTTTAAATATCAATAGCACCCTATATGAAAGTGATTTTTTTTGTCTCTGAAGAATACAATTTTTTTTTACTCTCCTCTCCTCTTTGCAGTGTTAACCATGTGAGAAAAAGCAGGCTCCGGCATTTTAATAATAGAATGTAAAATGCCGGCTGAATGTGGAGAAACATTTGGGGACAGCGAATAAGGGGGGAGTTCGGTAAGGGGATCCAAGCCCCGACGTCCACCATTCACACGACGTCCGTTTTTTGTGCTGACCTGATCCGTACGCTCCTGCACTAAAAATGCATCCCAATGTATCCCTATGTGTTTTATGGGCTACAGTTCTCACGTGCGCAGTCAGTTCAGGTTACGACAGAAAAATACTGCATGTCACATTTTGTATGGTCAAGGGAACGGTCCGGAAATGCAAAGCGCGTCAAAAACGCATCAAAAACGCACTGCACTGCAGCTAACATACTGACAGACCCACTCCAGCAAAAAAAAATAAAAATGTTTTTTTTTTTTTAACTGGAACGCATCAAAAACGCTGCAAAAACACATAGCACAGCGTCTGCAGATCCGCACCTGATCCAGACCTGAAACTCATGTGAACAGGCCCTTAAAGTGTCCACAGCAGTGCAGCAGTTAGGAGCTATCTCTGACACCGTCAGTTATGGCTGTTGCTAGTGTCAGGCACCGTGGGCATGTGCCCTGGATTTGTCATCAGGTGCTTGAGAACTACCCAAGTCTCAATTAAATACAGAGCTGTATATCGTGCTTTTTGACACTTTTCAGAACCTGTCCCACACACAGTAGAAAAACCTGCTGCACCTGGCAGGATATAATTATTCTCACTGAGCAGCGCAACCCCTTAATATGTGCATGTTTCCCTTAGCAAATAAAAATTGACAGGGCTGTGATATGGAGTTAATGCAGAAGGGAACAGCTTGTGTCAGACTCGGGTAACTCAACAGCCTGACAGTGAGTTCCAGAGCATCAGCTGAACAGCCGAGGGCAGTACTTCTAGAGAGCTTCTGCATCTGTGCCACCTCTGCTTAAATATGCAATGCATGCCCAACATGAAGTAGGTGCAGGGGCAGGAGATGGATCATAGGGGTATTAAGGCAAGTGAATGAATCTAGGGGCTGACATGGCAAGAAGAAAGAAAGTTGGAGTAATTGGACAAGAGCATGTGAGTTTGGACTTATTGTAGCAAGAATAAGGTGGAAAAGAGTGAGTGTGGGTTAGAGTAGGGCAAATCTGAGGGTACTATGAAAAAGGTGTGTAAAATTAGGAGTAATGATTTAACACTTTTACTGCCATTGCCATACAAACTACGGCAAGGCAGTACCAGGATGTAAAAAAAGCTTATGGCTAAAATTGCAGTCCTGAGCTTTTTTCTTTACCATAATTTCTGTACTGGGCCAAATTCACAAATAATGGAGAAAGGAAAACTATTGTTGCTGCCCATGGCAAGATTCCAGATGCAATTTTTCCAGAGGACCTAAGAAAACAGGTGTGTTCACGTATATACACGTCCTCCCCCTGAAGCAATTATATCAAGAACACAGCTGTTGCTGCAGCCGTGTTCTTTGTACCATTTTAAACAGCCGGCGATGACTGTTCAGGTACAAGCGATCTGGCGGCTGTATAGCCGCCAGATTGTGTGTACCGAGCGGCGGTGTGTGTCCCACCACGACCACCGCCAGCTACCCCAGGCTCTGCTGTCCCCCATGCGGGCCCTGGACCGGCAGAGTGGGTCTCCCCACATCGATCAAAGGGAGCTCAGGAAGCTTCTACCCACTGATCTATCCTCCACTCACTGGACCTGGAAATGATGTGTATTACATCACTTCCGGTATCACTGTTTAAATTCTCTGGCTCGTACAGCCAGGTGAAGAAGCTGGTGAAACATATCTGTGCTTCATTAGCTTCTTTGGGGTCCCTAGGTGGCATTAGGGGTCTGAAAGATAGCAATAAAGTTAATTGTAAAAAAATAAATAAATACAAAAATGTTAAAATGCAATAAAACATTTGTAAAGTCCCCCGCCCCATGTACACTTAAATACAAATGTAAACACGTCGGGTGGGCATACATGCAAAAAGGAAAATTGCACCACACATGTTACATATCGCCGCGAAAATTGCACCACACATGTTACATATCGCCGCGAAAAGCTTTTAACCCTTTCGCTGCCAAGCCCTCCGGAACATTTTTCAAATCAGCTGGCCAAGCCAACACCTATGGGAAATTTTGAACATTGTTGTTTTTTGCGGTTTCACAGGCAATTTTAAGGCTTGACATCTTTGGCATCAATTCACCTGGCGTGAGCCCATCTTTTATATTTTACGAAATAATTTGGTATTATATTCTATTTCTGTGCACTACATTTTAGTGTATTTTATAAAAAAAAATACTGATTTGATAAACATTTAGGCAAATACCGTGCAACATAAAAAAAAATGGAACTAGCATTTTTCTTTATTCTACAGGGCCTCTGCTTTCAGGACAAATATAATTTTGGGGGGTTTTGAGCTGTTTTCTAGCCCAAAAATCTGATTTTATCATGTGTGTGCAAATAGTAAGACATTTCTTTGGACAGCAAGTGGTTAAAAATACTTTTTCTTGGTGCCTACTAAATATTTTCACTGTGTGTGTATTCAACACTTATAGTGTTAAAAGAACAACAACACAATACATATTATGGCTCCGAATAAGAAAGTAACTCGGGAGTGCACAGCTGGTATATTTTTTTTATATCCCAAACCTTGAGATGTCAGCTAGATAAACTGTTTTGTAATTTCAGAAAGCTGAACCCCCACCAAGAAAAAATATATATATTCCCCTGGATAGTGATAACTGCTCTCAACTATAAATAGTCCCCCATAAAGTGTCTGTTATGGGATATGTATTTCTGGTGTGTTGCTTTCTATAAAGATAATAGTTTCATGTTCTAAGTATGCAATGAAACTTCGAAGCTTAATGTTTACCATAATTTTGGTATAATTTTCTATTTCTTAATACTAATTGTACATGTGTATTTATCGTGTTGCATACACAGATTTTTACTAACTACAATGTTCTTGGTGCCCGATAATACTGTAGCACTAGTTGTTTTAGATAATTATCATTATTATACAGGATTTATATAGCGCCAACAGTTTGCGCAGTGCTCTAAAATATAAGGAAGACATTACAGTCACAATACAATTCAAGACAAGATGGCAAGGAGGGCCCTGCCCGTGAGGGCTTACAATCTAAAAGGGTGGGGCAAGTGATACATGAGGAGGTAGCTGTGTGGGGATGAATTGTTTGAGAAAGTGATAGTTCAGTGGTTAGGTTGAGGTGGGATAGGCTTCCCTGAAGAGATGAGTCTTTAGGGATGGCCTAAAGGCAGTCAAGGTGGGAGATAGACGAACAGGTTGGGGTAAAAATCCAGAGGATGGGAGAGACTCCAGAGAAGTCCTGGAGATGAGTATGGGAGGAGTTAACAAGGGAGCTGGAAAGCAGGAGGTCTTGGGAGGAGCGGAGGGGACGGTTAGGGTGATATTTTGAGACAAGGTTTGAGATATATCTGGGGGCAGAGTTGTGGATGGCTTTATAAGTGATAAATGTTAATTTTCTGAATGTTATCCTTTGGGCGAGTGGAAGCCAGTGCAGGGATCGGCAGAGGGGGGTTGCAGACACTGAGCAGTTGGTCAGGTGGATGAGTCTAGCAGCTGCATTCATGATAGACTGAAGGGGAAGGCCAATGAGGAGGGAGTTGCAATAGTCAAGATGGGAGATAACAAGGGAGTGGGTGAGTAATTTAGAGGTTTCATTGGTGAGGAAGGGGTGTATTTTGGAGATGTTATGAAAGTGAAGATGGCAGGATTTGGATAGTGATTGGATGTGGGGAAGAAAGGTGAGATCATGTACTACTCTTTGATGTATCCATCTTTCAATAAAAACTTGATGCATTAAAATCAAAGAATTAAGAGTAGTTACACTCTTCTTCCACAGAACACTGCATAAACCTCAACAGATAAACACATGCAAGTCAAATATATATAGCATACAGAATAAAATGAGAGTTTCACTGGGAATTAATTCCACCTCATGCAAGTCCAAACTAATCAACAGAAGATATAACTTAGCTAAAAAAGCTGCAGCCCAAGCCCAAGAAATAATACCAAACATCGTTCTCCAGGGAGACCCTCATATACAATATCTTTTTCTCTTTTATTCTCTATTTAATCGTTCAATATCAATTTTCTGTTGTTTACATTGTCTCTTGGTAGTGACTGCAGATACAGGAATGATGGACAAGTTCAGTCTGGCACATATCACCTGGACGGCAACTCTTCAGAATGGGGATACAGTCAGCATTTAATATTGAGGTTCTAGCCATTCTCTACTTCAAACCAAAAAATTAATTGGATGGAGCTGCGGTCTATCAGATAGATACTTTTTGTGAATTAGAAAAGGAGTCAAAAAAGGATGGAACTTGCAATAAATGCAGATACAATTAATATATGCAAGAGACGGAGACGGAGTAGGAGTGGGTTTTTACTGCTCTTTGCGTCTTCCTGTCCTGGTGACATCACTAAATTATTTTCCTGGTGTCATAGGGGCAGGAAGTGTGTGTGGGGGGAACCTACCCAGTTGACAGTACAAACAGTAATAAGCACCGGATAGAGGTTCTAACTAGGGATGCACAGATACCAATACCTTCCCTGATACCGGAACTTACGGTCAGAGGAAGATTTCCACTGATCGGCAGTGCCATAGGGGAACATGAAGCGGGCTTCCCGGGCAATCAGGAAGCCAGGCAGTGAGTAATGACCCGCCTCCCAGCTTCCTGAATGGCCGGGAAGCCATCTCCATGCTGATTGGCCG